GCCAGTGTTTAACACACTCCCACTGGCAGGCGTCAGGTAGTGCCAGTGTTTAACACACTCCCACTGGCAGGCGTCAGGTAGTGCCAGTGTTTAACCCCATTGGCAGGGTGAACCGGTTCCACAGAAATACATGTCGACATGTGCTAGCGTTTACAGCTCCCACTAGCGGGCGTCAGTAATCATGACTATATCCGAGACAAAACCATGCAGGATTTCCAAAAATCCATAATTCACAATCAATCTCAAATCTCAGACATAAACCGAAAAATTTTCATGTGACCATGGATTTAACAGAAAACTCAGAATTTGTAAACTCTCAGTTCATCAAAACAGTTCAGTCAATTCCAAATAGGCATGCTCTACTTAATGCAAAGAAAACAATTTCATTCCAATCATGCTCAATTCCATAAAACAATGCAATTCCCATTTTCATTCCAATCATGCTCAATTCCAGAAAAACAGTGAAATTCTCATAAAAACCATCACAAATTCCATTTCAGTTTCATCACATTCAGATGCGGATAAAATCAATTTAGAATCAATTTAAACCTTGCCACCATCTCAAAAACAGTTTAAAACATGCTTTAAAATCAAAAGACTTTACCATAATTTACTTACCTCACTCGCACAGAACAGAAGGCTAACCCAAGTGCTACAGTGACAGAACGATCAAAACCTAATCAAAACACCTCAGAATTAATATCGGACTATCACAAATTCAAACTGAAATCATCATTAAAATCACTTCCAATCCCGATGCTATTCCTATTAATCTCCACATGATCAAATATCTCCAAATTCATTCTTATATCACAAACTAATCATTTAAATCCCCGCTAGTCGTTGACCCTCGGTGTGTGAACAGTGTTCTGTGAACAGTACCCCGTGAACAGTACCCACGACGTGAACAGTAACTCCAACTTCCAAAAATTGGCCAAACACTAGCTAATTCACGGGGGTTTCACACAATTAACCTCACAACAATCAAATTAAGCTAATTCTACATAAACCAAGCACAAAAACACATTTAATTGCTACTAAAAGCTACCGGAATTCATCCCCTCATTTTAGCAAAATTCGGACAACACAAGGCAGCACTCAAGGGATTAAAAATCCAGACTGGGAGAGCTGCTACCTACCCAAATTTCTGGCTAGCAAACCGGGTCTGGCGAGCTTGGCAACCGGCGGGAGTTGGAGGGGAAGCCGACGGCAGTGCAGGGAGAATTTCTGCAGGGAACTCACGGGATTAACCCAAAATTAAAGGAACCCAACTTAAATCAAAGCTAAAAGGGAGATTCATGGCTGATTTTTACCAAGAAAAACCGAGACTCACACCCACAAGCAAAAGCAGTCGACGGACAGAGGAGGAAGAGCAAGGCAGATCCGGGATTTCCAGCAGGGGGGGGGGATTTCTGGGTTCAAGAACAAGAGAAGAAGGAGAAAATCCCCAAGCTTTGCCGGATTTCCGGTTGGAAATGGGTGGCGGTGACGGGGTGGGCTCGTAGGGTGCAGAGGGTCGGGGGAGAAGAAAGAAGAGCAAATGCGCGGATAAGGAAGAAGAAAGAAAGAAAAAGAAAAAGAAAAAAGCAATTCATCCTTATCCTAATTTTCTTTCTTTTTAGCCCCTCAACTTTTTAAAATTTTACGATTAAGCCCCAAAACAATATTTTTCCTCAAATAACTCCTCAATTTAATGCTAAAATACCCCAAAATTTTGGGATATTACAAAATGTTTAAATTTAAAATTT